ATTCCTAGTAATTCCAAGCTTTTTAAATCAGAGTTAATTTGCATAGTTGGGAATTGTTTAGAATTCCTAGGAATTCCTAGGAATTTTCAGGAATTCCTAGGAATTCCCAGAAAACTGGGAATTCAGTTTGCAAGGGTCATTTGCATAATTGGGAATTTCTGAGAATTCCTAGGAATTCCTAGGAATTCCCAGAAAACTGGGAATTCAGTTTGCAAGGGTAGAAAGAAGGGTTATAATCAAGTGGTTCTACAGGCTCTATTGTATAGTTTCCCATAAGATACAATGTACAAATAGCAAACTAAAATACATCTTGGTAAACAAAATGGGAATAACTTAAACTGAAGAATATGGTACAACAACAAGTACCACATCAACAATAGCAGCAATAACAGATCTCCTCTACCTAGAGGGCTACAGCTTTTGACTCTCTTTCTAAGCCATACTGAACAGCTTCTGTGGTACTTCCTGTAATGCATTCCTCTTAACACGATGTGGCAATATTCTCGTGAAACAATGGGGTACTCGTGAAGCTGAATGAAATTCATCTTAGGTAAATTACGGAGATTGCTTGAAACCATCCAAGGGCTGAAATCCTTACCATAGTTGTTTCGTATTTGAAGTTGCTCTGGTTTTGTTCTAGGTCCTGGACATCTGTGAGAAGTTCTCTGTTTTTTCCACTACTCGATGGAAGGACGTTTTATGTCAGCAAAGCATAAACTTTCGACACTAAGTCAGCTCTAATTCTGCCCGTTGATTTTGAATTAGATTTTAAAATCTCCCTGAGATCTTTTGCTTTGAGTTTCTGGATGTCATCTAATGACAAAATTTCCATATTGTTGTATTAAAGAACCATTTTGAAGGGAGAAATTGCATTGAAAAGTGCATTAGAATGTGAAATGTCAGCAGATCAGCTGTTTGAAAGAACTGCCAGGTCAACTCCAGCTTCGTTATTGTGTGTGCGCAGTTACTAATCCAATATGGCACTAAGAACTGTAAAAAGGTCTATTATGATTGAGTCGTTGTGTTGTGTTTTTGGCCAAGACACTATTTACCTCTTACATTGCATATTACTACTCATGACTATGAAAATTATTAGTCCAGCAGACTGCCAGAGTATCTGGTTGTATTACTAGAGGAACCTGCACTGATCAATCTCCTGTCCTGGAAGAATTGTAGGAATTAGTCACAGCTTGGTCATGAAACTGTGATAAGTAGCTTCAGCATACTTTGCCCCATTTAAACCTTGCTCAGTTCAACATGCATGTATGTTAATTTTTATATTCTTTCTTATTGCAGATGTACAAAGAAAGAGGGGATACTCCATTTTGGGGTGTTCCACTGGCTCTCATATTGTTATCATTTGCATGGTGCCCAGAGATATTTAAGTATGTAACTAAGGAAGTTAGAAACCCACCAAATCCTAGTCTGAACGGGCTAACAACTAGTCAGCCATCGCCAAATGTTGAATTAGCTGGGTTGTCTATTCCTCAAGGTGAAACAATACTTGGTGTGGCTACCCGCTCAAAATCTGCACGTGGGAAGGCAGCGATCATCACCAGCCTGTGGAAGCTTTTTTTGATTCCATTTGTAGCAGCTTTGTATTGTTATATATTTAATAGAGCAGACTTGAGAGAGTTACAGAAAGGGTTTGACAATCTCAGTGTTGACAGTGATGGTTTTGTTCACTTTATGGTGCAGATATGGACAAGCTTTCTTGGGTATATGCTGGGCATCTTGGCTTGTGCGATTTGCATGCAACTTCTTGCTTTTGCAGTGCCAATGATACTTGCAACACCCATTTCAGTTGGCCTGACTTTAATCAGTAACACATGGGCAGAGGACCATATATTTTTCTTTAAGCATGGTGATCCAAGTGATGTTTTGCTCTATGTTATAACTGGATGTTTCCTGTTAGCACAGTTTTTTTCAGTTGGCTACTATGTGCTAAAAAAACAAGAAGGTATAATGGCAAAGGAATCAAGTTTGTTTTGGATGCCAACATATAATGGTAACGTATAATTTATTTAACAACTGCATATTTTGGTAGTAACACCTATAGTACAATGGTGGATGGAGAATAAAGATCTTGACCCTTAAACTCCCAAGAGCTGACTGTTAATTCTCCACTCTAGCTGCTACATATTTCATTGTAAATTAGTTATAAGAATTCGGTGCTAGCTAGATCAAGATTATAATCTCTACTTGATAACATTGAGTACTGTATTTCCATGAAAAAGGGCCCACCTTCTAGGCCATAATGTTAAAAAGTGCCCCCCTCACTTTCTTAAATAGTAGGGATATGAGGAAAACCTGTTTTTATTGCCACATTATTTATAACTTTTGAAGCTTCGACTACAACAAAATCAGTACAGGAGAATAGTAAGCACCCCCCTTCCATTAAGTGCCTCTTCTTTTAGGGTGATGTTTTAAATATTCCTCATTACCAGTTTTGATATTATAGGGAGAATTTACATGTTAATTACCTGTGTGAGCTAGAAGGTTAATTTATTTCTTACACAATAATATATTGGTATGAAACATTCTTTTGTAGGATTGTTTCTGGAGCAACATCTTTTGTTGAATCGAAGAAATGAGATCACAGATGACCATCATGTCAAACTTGGTGAACTGGTGAAGAATACTTGTGTGTACATTTGCACCACCATGTACCATGAAAATGAACAAGAAATGGAACAACTGCTTAATTCACTGCATGACATTGACTGTGCAAGGGAAAAATCAAGGCGGCAAATAGAGTCGCATATATTCTTTGATGGAGCAATCAAAGGAGATGTCTTGAATAACTATGTTTTGCAGTTAATTTCACTGATTCCAAGAGCACTGAAAGTTTCCATTGATGTGTGTATGAAGCTGAAGACACCATATGGGATGCAGATGCGTTGGAGGCTACCTGGTGGAATGTATTTTCACATCCATTTAAAGGATAATTTAAGGGTAAGACTGTGTATTTATTCTCACATGAGAATTTTGCAATATTCTCAGGCTATTTAGGGGCCAGTAATTATTTTGATAAATAAGTTCTCAGGGAGAATGCAGGGCGCATCATTCATCACTAATGTAGTTTATATAATAAGCTCAGTTATGCATGCGTTCTGATTGATTTTCACTTATTCATTGGCTGGTATTGTTAAGTCATTTAATGGTTAAACACTAAAAAGTCTTACAGGCAATTCAATTGGGGGAAATTGACATATCAGTTTTCATGATCCTGGCTCTTAGTGTGGAACCCAACAAATGCCCAACAAATGTGGCGCAATAAATTACATTCCTTGATTAAAGCCTTGCATATTTCCAGTTTGCTCCCTTTGCCTAGGGCTTCAAATCGTGCATGCTTTGCTGCTTGTTTGGCAAATCAATGAGAGGCTAGTGATCAATATTGTTACTTATTTGTCCTGGTTGTTACTTGTTCAGAACTTTTACACTTTTGAAATAACACAATGAATCATAATATTCCTTAAGGTAAAGAACAAGAAACGGTGGAGTCAAGTCATGTACATGTCATATGTGTTAGACTTTAAAGAAAAGCTAATGGAAGGTAATTTATTTGTCTCTGAATCTTACTAACCTGAGCAATAATTAAGCTTTAATGACTTTGTTGTAAGAATTGAACTGCTTTTGTGTCAATTACGATAGATTCTGCACTTGTACAGTACACTCATGGAAACAAGATGACGCATTTACATGCTCATTGTGGTATTCTGTTTATGATTAATCGATGTATAACGCAAACAAAATTGGGCTTACAATGCATTGCACTGCAGTGTATACATGTAAGATTTGTGAAGTTTCCTCTTTGGTTAGATTTTATAAGAACTAATAAAGATGCTGTAATTTATATACAAGGGTCATACAGACAAAGAGTGGAAAATTATAGGCAAATTTTCAAGGCTTAGAAAAAAGATTGAAAATGTCTGTAAAGTAAAGTGTTAAAATTAGAAAAAGTTTGGCTTTGGTTTTCAAGCTGCAAACGTATCATTGCTTTATTGCTGGGTGAGATCTTTGTACTAAGTTGAATGTAAAATTTAATTTCTTCAATT